AGAAGAGGGACCATAGTTGCAAGATGTCCACTCTGGGGAACTGAAGTATGCACACACACACACACACACACACACACACACACACACACACGCACGTGCACACACACACACATTTGTGGGCTATTCCCTGATCTTCACAGCTTCCTCATGTAATTAGATAGAGAAAGGGTATCTCCAAGCTGTGCTTGGGCACAAAGAGTACTTCTCCTAGATACAGCACAAAGCTAGCAAGTACAGACAAGGCCTTGGCCCTTTTGGCCCTTAGTTACCCCCTCAATAAGTTTATCATTCAGGGTGGGTCTACTGTGTTGCCAGCTCTGTTGAAGAAGACCAAGCTGGCTATGGAATTGTGGAGGAAGGGGGCTGTCACCTTCTCAAAGCTAGGGTACTGCAGCTCTGGCCAGCACCATCCCCCACACCTCAGCCCCAGCCTCAGCCACTCTCTAGAGCCCTTCCTCTGAACCTGGAGAGGTTGAGTGTCCTTCTGGCTTCCTTTTAGTGTGATGTGACTCCTGCTATAATGAGAGAGAGAGAGAGAGAGAGAGAGAGAGAGAGAGAGAGAGAGAGAGAGAGAGAGAATCTAGGGGTTTAGAAAGAACAACACTCAGAAAGCAGAAAGGCCTGCGCAGGAGCTGCTGTTACAATGCTACCAGAGCTCTGGGAGCAGGCTTCATCCTGTCCTCCTTCTGCCAATGTCCATGAATAGGAAAAAAAAAAAAAAAAAAAAAAAAAAAAAAAAAACACATGTGAAGGAACCACAGCTGATTTGGAAACTATAGTGCCCCTTCCTGCAGTTTTTTCTGTCAGGGAGTGTGTGAGAGAGGGAGAGGTAGGTAAGAAGTGGTTTAGAGAGGTGTGTAAGCAGACAGATAAAATCCTTAGTACTCTGCAGATGATCTTGAAGGCAAGGTCCCAGGGGAGTCTATAGTGAAGCCTTTTAGAGGAGATGTTCTTGTTCACAGGGATACGGGAGCAGCAGTCTGGTGTCTTTAAATTCATCCATCATTAACAAGAGAATGACACTGAGGATTGTCAGGTGACATCAACTGAAAGGCTCTGAAAGGCTTTTGGCTCCTCAAGTGTTAGAACTTGGGTTCCCTCCTAATTCCACACTCTTCCTGAGTTCCATGTTCTGACATTGGAAAGAGGATGCAGAGCAGGGCTTCCATCAGATGGCTAGAAGGAAAGAAAGAACTATCTGTATTTTGATTGATCTGAAAAGATGTGGGAATATCCCTTACTGGGCCTTAACATTCTTTTAAGTACAGAAATACAAACTACCCATCAAGCAAACGTTTATCTGGGTCCTTTAATGCTTTGTATCAAACCCTGGGAACAGTTGTGAACATGCAATCATTCCTCTTAAAAAGCTTGAGTGTCTGGAGGAGATGGAAGGATGGCAGCAATAAAGTAGAAGGAGGTAATATGTTAAGTGATGGGAGATGTCATTCTGTAAATATGTTTCCCTTATTGGATAATGAATAAAGCACTGTTGGCCAATAGGAAAGAAAGACAAGTGGGACTAGGAGACTAGGAGGAGAGAGGTAGGAGTAGGGAGGAGATCCAAGATGGAGGACAGAGAGAGAATGCCAGTCCCTCTCTCTGGTAAGATAAGACCATGTGGAAGTACTTAGATTAATAGAAATGGGTTACTAATTAAGACAGAGCTAGCTGATAAGAAAGTAGTAATAGGCCAACAGAATTATATCTAATACAAAGTCTCTGTGTTATTTGGAGCTGGCGCAATAGTGGGACTAGACCGGCAGGGAAAACCTACTCCTAACAGTTAAGGGTAAATCATAAAGAGTCCAGTGGATCATGTTAAGGAATTTGGATTTTTAAAATCCATTCATAAAAGAATTATTTCTGGATATTTCTGAACTGAACCTTAAGCTGTGGTAGCAAAATTGAACTGGACAAAGAAACAAAGGGAAGGCCATTTCATTGTCAATGTCTGCCAATCAGAACAGAAAATTAAGTATGATTGATGCCCATAGGCACTTGGCCTTGGCTACTGCAGATCTCTGGGGTTTGGTTGACAGTAACTGCTTTCCTATGGATGTTGTTGTTGCTGGGATTTGAAGTGGCTTCCCTCAGCCCAGATGCCATGATAATAGTCTGCTTTTCCAGTGACAATGTCATACTCTGATGTTCTGGACAGCAATCACTCAGCCCCTTATTAACTCAAACTATTTTAATATTTCTTCCAGCTCCCCAATGACTGGCTGAAGTATGGATGGGCCCTTGCCAAAACTCTGACCAGAAACATGAGGGAACACTTGGTGAAAAGTGTGCCTCATTGAAAACAAAACACAAGATGTCATGATCTTTTTCTTTCTAGCTCTACTACAACTCCCAGAATCACATGTCCTCTAGCACATCCAAAACATGTAAAATATTACATAGGTATAGTTAGATTAGCTTTGTTCTGTTGAAAGTTGAAGATTTCTAGAAGCTTCCTAAAATATAAAAAGGGGGACTGTGACATTTTGAGCAGATTAGAAAGCTAAGAGAGATGTATTGGCATATATTATCCCCAAAGGAAGAGCGGGAATAAATCTATATCCCAGAACTATCAGTGCTTCTATGGTACTAGGATGATAACTACACAACTGTACCAATGACACTACATACACTCCTTCCTTCTGCATGACGTTCCACCTCTCCAGCAATACTATAAAGAATCTCTGAAGGCCAAGTGCAAAAAAACATTCCTCATATTGAACAACTACTTCTTAATCTGTTTCTCAATGAACACCCCACCCCCCCGCCGCCATGTTTTCTGTTTTGAATCTGTTCTATCTTGTCATTCCTGTGATAGCTGGATGTTATGTAGGACGGGGTCTCTGCATTTTCTTACTTGTTTGATTGCTACATTTATAACACAGGGCTGGATGCGTGAGACTTACAGAACGGACAAGGCCACAGCATGCTAGTAGAATAAGGAGGAAGCCTGGGGATCTGCTGACCTAAAAACTCCGAGGACAAAATACCCTTATTAGGAAAATTGGGCTTTGAGTGGAGAAGTGCCCACAAGGAAGGAGGCATGAGACATGCCTCATTCTTCAGCCTAAGAACCACAGATAGTAAAATGTTTGTGGCTATATGAGGAATTGAGGAAGATCGGGGTACTTTTAATTTCAAACCACAAATAAGCCTCAAGTATTCTGTAGTTTAGTCACAGAATTGACAAAATTTGTACAAGTGAACTTAATTGAATAATCAATGGAAAGGGACCCAGGGGAGTCTAGCATTTCTGAAATTGCACATGTGCTAGTGCATATGAGTGAGGGCCCCCACAGTGAAGAACTGGTCAGCTGACAATCCCCTCGGGTCAACATTCCCACTGAAGAAGCCCTGCTCACCCCACCTGCAGCCATGAGTCCACACATACTGAGGGTGAAGCCTAGCTTGGCAAGTCTTCTCCTCTGAACAAATAAGGCTACCTTGAGGCTTCTAAAGACACCAACCTCCCAAGGATGTATTCTTACAGAGAAATATGCTTGGGAAGCTGAATGCCCCCTCTACATATCTGAAGGCACCCTTTGAATTAAGACTTGCCTGCTGATATTAACTCTTAGACCACTGTTTTAAAAGCTAAGACCTAACGGGCCTGTACTATTCTTCTTGTTGCTGTGACAAAATACCCAACAGAAGCAATTTAAGGAGGAAAGGGTTGATTTGGGCTCCCAGTTTGAGGGCACAGTGCATCACAGCAGGAAAGGCATGGTGGCAGGCCAGTATAGCAGCTGCTCATGTTGCATCTACCACCAGGAAATAGAGAGTGATAGATGGCTGGCACTCCATTGACTTTCTCCAATCCATTGATGGTTCCCACCCATGTTTAGAGCAGGTTTTCCCACATTTCATTTAACCAAATCTAGAGACTGGGTTATAGCTGTGTCAAGAGGTTTGTCTCCTGAATTCTAGATCCTATCAAGTTAAAAATCACAAGGAAAGGAGACAACAGATCAGGGACTCATTTATCTTGATATCAGACTAGTTCAGAGAAACTCACAATGCTGTGCTTCCGAGGGGCGGGTGAGGCTGTTCCTGGGACCCAACATGACAGTCTAGTGGGGAGAGTAAGCTCTGGTATAGAGAGACTCTGAAACAGGAGAGTTGGCTATGCTTAAGGTTCTAGAAGGAATTGGGGGTACTTGGAAAATACAGGACTGCTATAAAACCATTTCAGAACTGATCTCCTCCATGTTCTCTAAGCCTGTGGGAACGGGGAGCCATCTCTCAGTAATTACCACCTGATGCTGACAGTTTTCTGTTCCCCGGTATGCCCAGGATAGCAGCCTCCTCCTATTTTATCTGATTAATCAGTGCTCACAGTAAGCCCAACCTTCAGCATACACCAGTACACACACCCCAACACAGCAACCACAGGCACAAGCAAACCGCAGGAGTTTCGGTTTGAGCCTTTGATATTTTGAGACCCAAATGGTATCACAAGCAGAAACAGGGAGGGAGGGAGGGAAGTATCCCCCACAGAGGTAAGGAGGAGCTCACAGACAGTGCTTTTGCAAATATCCAGACTGAGCCCAACAGTCCATGGGTTCTTCCTCACCCTGCCTGTCTCAGCACACACCAAGGTCTGCATGAATTCTCAGAGGGTAACCAGTTTCACTTGGCTATTAACTCTTCTTAGCAAGTTATGTGCTATTGTGGGTGTGCGGGCCCCTTCTTCTACATAGAGTTACACGCATGCTTCATTTGTGTATTTTTGGTTTGGATCTCCATCATTTGTGAGAGTCTCCCTCCGCTTCTGAAAAATTAATCCAAAGAGTGAGAAGAAACAGTGAGGTAAAGGCTGCTGTCTGTCCTCTCTCTCTCTCTCTCTCTCTCTCTCTCTCTCTCTCTCTCTCTCTCTCTCTCTCTCTCTCTCTCTCTCTCTCTCTCTCTGTGTGTGTGTGTGTGTGTGGTGTGTGTGTGTGTGTGTGTGTGTGTGTGTGTGTGTTTCAGCGGGAAATCAGGAAATGCATTTCTGACACTTTGAAAATGAGCAATCACATGTATAATCAACTTGGTTAAAACTTCCTTCCTGGTAACTGTAACACTTCCTCTGCATCTGGATATGAAGGGAGCCCCAGAAAAGCGGAAGAAGAGTCGAGAGGTGCCCTGGGTAGGTTTGAATTTGTTTTGTTTTTATAAAGTAAACAAATGACCTTTCAGCACCACCACCTCCAGCGCTGTATCAGGTATTGCTGCTTTCTATTGTTTGCTCTTTGTTCGGTCGGACTCGGAACAGCCACACTTCCTTCTCAGCTAGAATATTTTTATCTGGAACCGTTACCAGTTCAAGATGAGCCCACCCCTGAAAGTCTGGGTTTCATTGTCTCACTCAGTTTAGACTGTGTATCCACAAGGTTCCGGCAAGGGCTCGCAGGTGCACAGGCTCTTTCTGGTTTTGTTTGTGAGGAAGGGGGTGGCTTCCCTATAACAGGCAGGGTTCATAGTCTTACAAGTACTTGACTAAGGAGTACTATACAGACAGTGCTTTGTTTTTTTGTTTTGTTTTGTTTTGTCTTAAGAGGACAAAGCTGCTTAGTCCCAGCCATGAGGAAAACCAGTGAGTATTTGGTCAGTCTCTCTTATTCTGTACTTTGTGTCATGATATAGTATGATTTCTTGGTGTCACTGTTGCAGATACTTACTAAATTATATTTGTACACTTAAATACGACGTTTTATTTTAAGTTTATGTCAGTATCAAGATAGCCTATGGTTCTTTTGTTAGTTATTCTATAATGTACCAAAAGACCACAGTAATTCTTTATTTATTAATTTATTACTTTTTTATTTTACTGCCATGGTAATTCTTTAAGCTACAGAAACAGTTGTTTGGGACAGTTGATTTCATTTATTTACTAAGTATAACATCAATGTATTTTCAGAGGAGTGATTATTGATTTTAAAAATAACAACTTAAGAATTGAGCATAAGTTGAGATCCAACGAATCTGTCTTTTATAACTTTTAATCAAATTCTCCTTTTGGAGACATAACAAATATTTCACTGTTCCTTAGGAGGAAACTAATTATAGATCTCATTGACATCAGTAAATGATAATCCTGAAATATTTTGTTACAATATTTGAATGTGGTTTAAAGTATAATGTAGTATCAATGTAGCAATGCTTAATAGTAAAGTGTTTTATGAATAATTTTTCAATTTTAGTACTCTAAGCATTTCAGTCATTATTGATAAGTTCCTTAATAGGAGAGATAATACTTACATAAATGCTTTGTAAATACTTGTTAATTGTTAAATATTAAATAAGGACAAGTACTTATTAAATATTTGCAGAGTGGGTAATATGATGAAAATAAATTTTGAATTTCTGACACAAAGAAGAACAAAAAGGAAAATGAATTATTGTTTAGGGTCTAAACAGCAGGTCATTGGAAGGCAGAACTCATGTCTTATACGGGTGGTTCCTCTGTTTAAAGCAGAGGCAGGTCAAACCAAGGGCTCAGTAAAAATGGCCCAAAAGTCACATTGTGGAAGTCCAGGTGTGGCAACTGTTCCACACTAATATAGCATTGATAGCTAGAATGTTCCACATTCCATGATTCAAAATGGTATGTGTCTCCAAATGTCTTTGATAACAGCCTTTGCCAAGCAAGCTATTTTTGGGTTTTATGAATGAAACGACTGGCTCTCTTAAATAGAAAGAAAAAAAAAATGAAAAGGAAAAAAAGACAGGAAGTTGACTAGGGAGAAGATTCTGGGTTCAGACAGCTTGAAAATAGAGAAGATGAAGCAAGATTGGGTGCCTGAGTTAAAGAAGTGTGAGACTGAAAAGGGAAATACGCTGGCTTATTTTCAAAGTGATATTCAGACTCTCACACTGCACCCAGGAAACTAGGACTTCATCCTTGATTGTATTGCTTTACCTACCCATGTGTTTCAGAGTGCTTACAAGCAGTTACCATTTTCAGCCAGTAAATGTTGACCACTATGGTAGATGAATGTTTTACATGTTTTTGTGCACATGTGTGTAAGTGTGGCACACGTGTGCAGGTACACCAGCAGAGAAGACACGCTCCACTCTCTTCCTTTCTGACAGTGTCTGTCACTGAGCCTGGAGCTAAGCTGATGACCAACAAGGTCCAATCATTTCCCCCATCTCTGCTCTCCTTCCTTCTGAGATATATATATATATATATATATACACACACACACACACACACACATATATATATATATATATATATATATATATATATATATATATATATATTCTGATATATATAGAGTTACCGGCTCGTGGGGGCTTATGGGGGTGGTAGGATGTGAACTCAGGACCTCATGTTTGTACAGCAAGCACTTTTAACCTTTAAGCCATCTCTACAGTCCCATGGTACTTAGCAAACTTCACATTTGCTAATTAAACATCACACACACACACACACACACACACACACACACACACGAGAAAATGTGCCTGTGCCAACATGTAAGCATCACCCAATCAAAAGAAGTATACTGCCTTATTTAACTTTTGCCTCCACCCCCTATGTGTTAAGCAACCAAATTGACAGATAAGGAACAGGCTCAGAGATCAAGTAGGCCATGTCACCTAGACAGTAAGTGACTGGCCGAGAGCTATGCTGTTCAAGACAGCGCTGTCTCCAGCATACTTGGTCCCTCTAGGCTCACAACCGATTACACCTTCTCTCAGCCATCATACAGGAATATACAGTCTCCTGACAAAGCTGTTTCTCTACTCCCAGGTCGCTTAGAGTATGGAGCTGGGCAACCATGAACAGCCGGTGGTTCTAAGAGAGGACAACCTCCGCCGGCGCCGGAGGATGAAGCCGCGCAGCGCAGCAGGCAGTCTGTCCTCCATGGAGCTCATCCCCATTGAGTTCATACTGCCCACCAGCCAGCGCATCAGCAAGACTCCAGAAACAGCGCTGCTGCACGTGGCTGGCCATGGCAATGTGGAGCAGATGAAAGCCCAGGTGTGGCTGCGTGCACTGGAGACCAGCGTGGCTGCGGAATTCTACCACCGGTTGGGCCCAGACCACTTCCTCCTACTCTACCAGAAGAAAGGTCAGTGGTATGAGATCTATGACAGATACCAGGTGGTACAAACCCTAGACTGCCTGCACTACTGGAAGATGATGCACAAGAGCCCGGGCCAGATTCACTTGGTACAGCGACACGCACCTTCTGAGGAGACCGTAGCTTTCCAGAAGCAGCTTACCTCCCTGATTGGCTACGACGTCACTGACATCAGCAACGTGCACGACGATGAGCTAGAGTTCACCCGCCGCCGCCTGGTCACACCTCGCATGGCAGAGGTGGCTGGCCGTGATGCCAAACTATATGCTATGCACCCCTGGGTGACATCCAAACCTCTCCCAGACTACCTGTCCAAAAAGATTGCCAACAATTGCATCTTCATCGTCATCCACCGCAGCACCACCAGTCAAACCATCAAGGTCTCCGCAGATGATACTCCTGGTGCCATCCTCCAGAACTTCTTCACCAAGATGGCCAAGAAGAAGTCCCTGATGAATATCCCAGAAAGCCAAAGTGAGCAGGATTTTGTGCTGCGGGTCTGTGGCCGTGATGAGTACCTGGTGGGTGAAACGCCCCTCAAAAACTTCCAGTGGGTGAGGCAGTGCCTCAAGAACGGAGACGAAATACACCTGGTGCTCGACACGCCTCCAGACCCAGCCCTAGACGAGGTGAGGAAGGAAGAGTGGCCGCTGGTAGATGACTGCACAGGAGTCACCGGCTACCACGAGCAGCTGACCATCCACGGCAAGGACCATGAGAGTGTATTCACAGTGTCTTTGTGGGACTGTGACCGAAAGTTCAGGGTCAAGATCAGAGGCATTGACATCCCTGTCCTGCCCCGGAACACCGACCTCACTGTTTTTGTGGAAGCAAACATCCAGCATGGACAACAGGTCCTTTGCCAAAGGAGAACCAGCCCTAAGCCCTTCACGGAAGAGGTGCTCTGGAATGTGTGGCTAGAGTTTGGCATCAAAATCAAAGACTTGCCCAAAGGGGCCCTATTGAACCTCCAGATCTACTGCTGCAAAACGCCAACACTGTCCAGCAAGGCTTCTGTAGAGGCGCCAGGCTCCGAGTCCAAGGGCAAAGCCCAGCTTCTCTATTATGTAAACTTACTGTTAATAGACCACCGGTTCCTTCTGCGCCATGGGGACTATGTGCTCTGTATGTGGCAAATATCTGGGAAGGTAGAAGAACAAGGCAGCTTCAATGCTGACAAGCTCACGTCTGCAACCAATCCTGACAAGGAGAACTCAATGTCCATCTCCATCCTGCTGGACAACTACTGTCACCCCATAGCCCTGCCTAAGCATCAGCCCACTCCTGACCCGGAAGGAGACAGGGTCAGAGCTGAAATGCCCAATCAGCTTCGCAAGCAACTGGAGGCAATCATAGCCACAGATCCCCTTAACCCCCTCACAGCAGAGGACAAAGAACTGCTCTGGCACTTTAGATATGAAAGCCTGAAGCATCCGAAAGCATACCCTAAGCTATTCAGTTCAGTGAAATGGGGACAGCAAGAAATTGTGGCCAAAACATACCAGCTGATAGCCAAAAGGGAGGTCTGGGATCAAAGTGCTTTGGATGTTGGCTTAACCATGCAGCTCTTGGACTGCAACTTTTCAGATGAAAACGTAAGAGCCATTGCAGTTCAGAAACTGGAGAGCTTGGAGGACGATGATGTTTTACATTACCTTCTCCAGCTGGTGCAGGTAGGCGCTGGTGCTGTCAACAGCAACTGCCATCTCAGAGAACTTATTTGCATGTTCACAGGAACCCCTTCAGTAATCATCCCATATCCTTTGTTCAGTTTCATGACCAGTCAGACTAGAGCTGATGAACACATGTCAGAAAGCAGTAAACGTTCCTGCTGACTTTTTTTTTTTTTTTAATGTCTTTGAGGGTTTGCTAGCAAGAATTTAAAAGACACCAGTGCTATTATTCACATTTTAGCAGAATTGCCCCAATGGGAATCAAATTGTCCTTATTAATTATTTTAGTGATGGACTGAACTTGTTGCAAGCATCCTTGTGCCAAGGCTCCAATGATTTAGGTGTGTGTGTGTGTGTGTGTGTGTGTGTTGTGTTGTGTTATTTGATTGCACCAATAACTATGATGGTGGTCAAATTAGAATTTGGATTTGCATTTTATGCATATGGAAATTGAGATACAAGGAGACTAAATTATGTCTTCAAGACTACGTATTTTTTTAAAAATAGACCAGAATTAGAGGTCTGACTAACCCAAGCTTTATCATTTTCACAGCCAACAAATATCCTGCATAAATCTAGTAGCAGGATAATTCAGGCTAGAAAAATGTTAATCTCTGCCTGTGTTTGTCACAATTCATAGAACAACATGTCATATCTGGGAAGAAACTTTTAAAAGTTTTTCTTTATTGTTGAGAATTTTACACAGGTCTATATTGAAATATGGTCATATATACCCCCTAGTTCCTCTTCAAATTATCTTCCTGTCCTTATTAATATATGTCCTTCTCAGATTTAATGTCTCTTTTTTGTAATAACTGAAAGCCAAATTATCACTGTCCACGTGTGTGGATGTGGGGCCATCCACTGGAGCATGGGAATCTTACCAGTGGCCACATCTTCCAGAAAGCATGACTTTTCTCTGCTAGCAACTCTCCACTGCCAACAGCTCCACAGTAAGCAATGGGCCTAGAAATCCTCTACCCCACCTATGACAGAACTTCAGTTCAGATAACCACAGTCACTGTGAGATCCTATGGCTTTGAGGCCTGCTCCACGGGGGAAATGTCATGCTTGGTGCTGTGATCCTGGTCAAAAGCCTAGAGCTGGGGAAGTCACAGGCCATAGGGTAGAGCTTGCTATTGTTTTGTTAAATGGTTGTGCTTGGCAGACTGTTGACAGCTGCCTTCTTTAAGCAGGTATAGGACTGTGTTTCACTCAGTTCCCATGATGCTTCCTGTAATCCTGTGGGATCAACAATATGCTTGCAGTGTAGCTGAGTTGGTTAAAAAAAAAAAAAAAATAAGGAGCAACAGTTCTGCTCACATTAGTAGTTCTCAACTTATGTTTTATTACTCGACAAAGGAAAGGAAAGAAAAAGATGAGATAGGAATGGTATAGTACAGCATAAATGTGCTCATTCGTTCGTTCAACAATTTCTTCAGTAAGAAAACAAATCCTCCAGATTTGCTGCAGTGCACACACACACACACACACACACACACACACACACACACACACACACACACACAGGGAAAGCCATAGAGCACTATGAGTAAGTGGGGGCTCAGGTAACAATTTTGATTAATGTATCTAGGGAAAGTTCTGAGTAGGTAATACTTGATTTGACAATTTTTTAATTGTCATTTTCCAAGATAAACTTTGTAGGATTCAAAAAATAACGTTTTTCTTGGAAGAACTTTTGGGTGAAAGAGGTCAATCAGTCTTATTAATATTAGATGTGTGGGCTTAAATTTGAAGAGTAGTGTTTGTTGTGCAGCGATTTCAAACATCGGCTCCAACTGAATGACTCCCTGTTGGCTAAAATGGTCTCTTGTTTGCAACCTGCAACCAAGAAGTGAAACACAAATGAAGAAAGACCAGCTCGAGGGTTAGAAACTTAACACATTTAAAAAGAGTTCTGTTGACTGAGAAACCACATTCTCAGAACTCGACTTAAACTCAGCTTCTATGGCACCAGTATACTTGATCACACCCAAGAGAAGCATATTTGAAGGGGGGGGGTAAGATTAAAACATTATAAGGTCAGAATTGATTAGATCAGACTGGGAACCCACAGTGAGAACTGTGAACATACTAAGAAGACTTCAGACTCCAAAATACATGCTGGGGTGGAAGCATCTTCTATTCTTTGGGAGAAAAGAATGACCATTCCTACTTATAAAGGAACTATAATAATTTTAGAGTTATATACATTACCTACATTCTAACTTAATTGATAATTAAATAATATTGATAATTGAATAATATTTGTTGCCTTTAAATCTATTAACTATTTCAAGCTTACTGGAAAATAAAACATGAAAATAAACATGAACCCACAAAGATTTAGTTTACTTTTCCCTTTTTATTGGTTATTGTTCTTCAGCAATAAAGCTGTCATTTTACTTGTCAATATCCAACCCAGAACCAACACCGTGTTACGATCAAACACTAATAGTGAAGATCAAGTTCTGCCTGAGGGAGCATAGACAACCAGGAATATCTGACAAAAGCTCTGTACATGGAGTGGCAGGGTAGGGTATGATTTACCCATAGTGAGAAGGAGGGTTACCCCCAAAGGGAGGCTGCAGGCCGTTAGGACCTTCACATTTGCCACTTCTTCGAATCTAATGTTCTTTGTTAAGTACTGTATTGACACTGTCCATTTCCTTTAAATGAGCTCTCTCATTTAAAGGAAAAACCCAGTTTGTTCTAACTTGGAACAAAAGCCTTTGCAACTTCAGCTTTGCCATGATCACAGCACTGAGCATCAGGAGTCCTTCAGCCCATTTGGCCCTCTTTTATTCTAGGAGCTAAGCAGTTACTCCATCCCCAGTGTCCACTAAAGGTGGGACTGGATGGGAGTGGCTGGGGAGATTCTTGACACCTAACTGGGAAGAGCCCCTTGCACAGAACCATGCCTTTTCTCCATTCCCTTTTTCCTGACTGACCACCACAGACTATAATCCTTCAAATGCTGATGTGCTCTTCCTTTAGGCTGTGAAATTTGAACCATACCACGACAGTGCTCTGGCCAGATTCTTACTGAAGCGTGGCTTGAGAGTAAGTATTTCCACTTTGATAGCAGCATGACAATTTTAGGCTACCAGGATCCTTCTGATAAACCTACAGCATTAGTCATGATGATCTCAACCGTCTTGTGCCCATCTCAGAACAAAAGAATTGGTCACTTCTTGTTCTGGTTCTTGCGAAGTGAGATAGCCCAGTCCAGACACTATCAGCAGAGGTTTGCTGTGATCCTGGAAGCATACCTGCGGGGCTGTGGCATGGCCATGCTGCAGGACTTCACACAGCAGGTCCAAGTGATCGAGATGTTACAGAAAGTCACCATTGATATCAAGTCACTCTCTGCTGAGAAGTATGACGTCAGTTCCCAAGGTACAGCCGCTACATTTTCTCAGTTCTCTTTCTGAATGCTACGATCACTATGATTCTTTCTGGAATCATAGTTGTACTTTGCTAAAGGTAGCCAAGAAATCAATTAGGGGGGTCTCTTGTCTGCATGAAGTAGATTTAAAGCTCTACTTCTGCAATAATGTGGTGTTTTAAGACCATATATTTATATGTTCTTAAAAAGAAGTTACACATGTGAAATTTGGAGAAATTTAAAAAATCATGAAAGGTTATTTCCAAATACCCTCCTTTCCCTACCTTTGAACCTGTTCTTGTTGGTCTCAGATTGTCAGAATATTGAGAGGGGAGGTTGATTTTAAAACTTTATCACATACATATATTTGTATATCAGAATAATACTCAAATGTAAATGTCTCTCTCACACACAGACACAGACACTCACACACAGACACAGACAGACACCCACACACACACACACACACACACACACACACACACTCATGCACACATGCCTCCTTTCTGTAGCCATTTCCAATACCTTCTCTCTGCTCTAGGAAAATTATCACTCCTGCAAGGTTTTGATACCACATGAAATTGTCATCATTAACACATCTTTCTGGCATGATAAACTTTATGAAGCTTATACCTAGAAAATATATTTTACTTACTTAGTAAGCCTGGACCCAGCACTACAGCCTAAAATAGACACTAACATCCCTGCCTTTTGGATGTTTTAAATTTCTACTCTTCCCTCTTGATTCTTTTCTAGTACATCGATCGTGCTACCCTCCAAAATCTTATATTTGGACTGGCCTCTTCCTGTTATCCAGGCAGTAATCTGCACTCTATGTGTTTTGCCTTGAGAATTTTGAGGTTGCCACATCTTTTGTGAATAACCTAACTTCCTCTTTTGAGAAGAATTTACAGAACTCTGTCCAACCCAACTCTTTTTAGTGTTCAAACATCTACTCTAAAAACCAGATGGCCGTTGAAAGCTTAAGGCTGGAAAACAACGACATTGTTAGCACCCTAGACTCATTCTCAGAGTATCCTCCTCTGCTATGGCAGAGGAGGTTTTCCCATGTGTGTTCACATGTATCTTCTGCCTGTGCACGGGGCATTTCTAGTTAAGTTACTGACAGTAATCCTGACTTACTTGGTCTGTTCATGATTAGATCCCCAAAGGCAGAGCTCTGTAGCCCCTTTCCTACTACTACTTTCCAAACCAAATATGTAGAATACTTGGGAAATGCGACCTCAGGTGATGTTGAGATAGTGCTGATGTCTCGTGCTCACTTAACTTCTGTATGCTTTTGACAATTGCAGTTATTTCACAGCTCAAGCAAAAGCTTGAAAACCTGCAGAATTCCAGTCTCCCCAAGAGCTTTAGAGTTCCCTATGATCCTGGACTGAAAGCAGGTACCCTGGTGGTAGGTATCAATGGGATATCTGTATTCCTTATGTCTTACAAGTGTCTAGCATGCTTTCCAGAGTCAGGGCCTTCACCCAGATCTTCTGAAGACACAGGAAGCTGGAGCACCCCTGGATGGGCTTCTGTCAAGCCCTTCTGTAATTACTAGCACCCAATACCCCATTGCTTAATAATTCCCCTTCTGTCGCATTTTAAATCAGCTTATTGGTATATTCTTTACATAAACAGTTGTCTATAGTATGAATTCAGTGTGTTTTTACACATAAGTGCTTCTGTTCAACTACCAGCAAAATCAAGTTACTCAACATTGTTCTAAAAATGTTACAGTCGTTCTTCAAGTCACTATCAGCTGACCATATTGTAGGTGGGTCTATGCCTTGCTCTCTGATATCTTCTATTGGTCTAAGTGTCTGTGTGCATATCAATACCACACATTGTAGTGACAAATGACTTTGAATGCATATAAGAATCTTACAGCAGTATATCTCTACTAATCCATCTTTCTACATGTATTATAAACCACATAATATATTATTTTTGCTTTAAACAAATATATATGTATAGTTAAATAGATTTAACCATTTTATACATTTACCCACATATTATGTTAGGTACTGTCTCAATACCACTTTTCTTGGATCTTTAACAATTAATTCTACAAGCTGTTGGCAATACAATCTTTCAGGACTAACTTAGCTGAAAATGTTTACTATGCATTTATTTCTTTTTTGAGCAATGTTTTCACTAGACAGAGAAACCTAACTTACCATATTTCTCTTGCAGTACCATTTTCTTCTGGTTTGCCTATGACCCGATGAGAATACTCTGGCTTTGTCTTTGATGCTCCATTTATAATATGTCCTTTTCCCTGTGTTTCTTTTCAGATTTCTTTCACTGGGTTTCAGCAGGTTGATTATGGTGTGTGTTTGCACAGGTTTCTTGTATAAAGTGTGAGGCTATTTTGTTCCTTGGACTTGTGGGCATCAGCTCTATTACACTTGGAGACTGTTCAACTATTATTACTTCCTGCCACCCCCTTCTCTCTTCTCTTTGTTACACTCTAGACTGCTAGGACATAAACTCAGTATCTGTGCCTTTTCTCCATACTTTAACCAGGAAATGGCTGCAACAGTAAGCTGAAGCAGCTGCTAGGATACCTTCACCTGTCTTCTTTGCTCAGGGACCACAGAGTTCCATTGTCTGCCATCTGATGTCTGACAAGAGTTGTCCATGTGTTTTTTCTGGTCTAGTTGCTTACAGTACAGAAATACTTGTAGCAGTTAACTCCCATGGAAAGAAGAAGAAACATCTCCTTCACATCTCTAAGTTTATAAACAGTCACTAGTATGGTGGCCTCATAGCAAAAGCACATACAATCCACTGTCATTGATTAGGTATCAGTAGAAATTATGATATTTGATGCAGCTTGCCAACTGTGACTTTAAAAAATCATATTTTATATCTATCTTTTTATTTTATGTGTATGAGTATTTTTGCCTGCTTTCCATGTATGTGCATTGCCTGAGGAGACCAGAACAGAGTGGTGGACCCCCTGAAATTGGAATTACAGGCTCTTGTGAGCAGCCCTGTGTGGGTGCCATGAACCAGTCCCAGATCCTCTGCAAGAGTAGTGCTCTTAACTGCTGAGCCATCTCTCCAGCCCCTGCATTATATTTCTGATTCATGCATTCACTTTTATCAATAAAAAAAATACACACAGAAAAGGGTTGGGTTTGGTGCTAGGACTTTTGTCATACTGCTTTGTTTTGATATTGGGGGGGGGGGGAGGAGTGGACTGCAAGTCCTGTGCCCAAGTGCCAGATTTTCCATCTACTGCTGCTAAATTTTCCTAAGTTAGGTTTGACCTACATCTGATTCCTGAGTAATAATATTTCAGACCTGTGGTCGCTCTCTAGAACTCATTTTTTTTTTCAAATTAAATCTCAGGAAGAGAATGCAGAAACAGATACTAGCATAAGTGCTCAGAGCTAATGGTGGTGTGGGAGTACCACTGTCCCTTGGAGGTGAGGCGGTCCCTGCAGCATCCATGGGCTTTCCACAGACCCTTAGAGTTCCTTGGAGTATATTCTGAGAGCCATTGTTTGAAGGATTGTGAGTTTTCTCACACATGGATAGCATTTTCTGTTTAGATGAGAACAACTTCCATATTTTTATCCAAATATTGAAAATCATTTCCCAACCAGGGCTTTGCACTTGTGTACAGAAATGCTCTACAAAAAAAAAAAAAATCAGTGCCCCCTCCATGTGTATTCAATGTATGTAATATTGCAATCACTTCCTTGCAGATTGAAAAATGTAAAGTAATGGCCTCCAAGAAAAAGCCCCTGTGGCTTGAGTTTAAATGTGCTGATCCTACAGCCCTATCCAATGAAACCATTGGAATCATCTTTAAACACGGTGATGATCTTCGACAAGACATGTTGATCTTACAGGTAGGCTGATTTGAAGGGACTGGGTTTTTTGCAATTATCTGCAGAAAGAATTCTGTATTGGTCCGAAATATGCCTTCCTTTCCATTTTTCCCATATGATAAACAGCAATCAAAGGGTACTAAATAGACAAGTTTTACTTGGTGGATGTAGATGTGGATCATTAGACATGCCATCTAATGAGCACCATAGTTCTCTCCATCCTTTCAAATATGAGTATTCAACATTCCCTAATAGTCAGATACACCTACATCACGTAGGCTCTTTAAGCACTCCATTCTGTGCATGGTGACATAGGCTGTGGTACGACCTGTTTACAGTACCCAGTTTATCCCTGTTCACAGACTTACCAACCCACCAGTAGGCATATTCCTTAAATACATTCCCTTTGGTATTCATACACAAGCTCAAGAAGGATTTATACAAAGGAGGAAAAAATGAGCAGACAGGTAATGGCGTGATCACACTGATGAATGATGAGGGGAGATAGTGAATGGTGAAGGTATCAACACCCATCCTTTTCAGAATTTTTTAAACATTTCTGTGTAGACTTCAGCTTCACATGTCTTTAAAGCTATGCTCTCCAGCTTCTAGTGCCTCATCATAGAAGAGGTAAAAGTTTCTGAAACCTATTATTATTTAGAAAAGACAAAGCATACTAAGTTAAAGGCAGGCTATCTAAAAATAATAGTTTCAATTTTCCTTAAGATTCTGTTTTGACTTATTTCTAATATAGTACTCAGCTTTCTTTCCAAGAATGGGTTGTTTTATTGTTGTTGTCTTGTTTTGTTTTTGTTTTCTGTCCAAGAAAGATTTTTGAAAGAAAAAAGAAATAAATTATTTAATCTTTTAAAATGTGAACTTAGTTTTGATTAAATCTGTGGAATCTTTTGAATTTGCAAAATTGAGCATTTCAAAGTCACAAAAAAAAAAGTTGCTTTCCTGTTCCTCTAATTCTGAGGGGCAATTTGTGCTTAGACTGCTTAGAGTGTTGAAGGTCAGTGTTTACTGAAGCTCTCTAAGCCTTTGTTCCTTTACCCTCTGAATGGAAACAATAATTATATTCCAGATATAAGGTTAATACGAGAATCACACATAGAAGAACAACCAGCTAATGTTTGGTATTAATGCCATCATTACTGACTTTACTGCCTTGGTTGTAGCAGATGGTTTTGCAGATAACAGAACAGTCAACATGTAAAAGGACATTACAGTTGTTGTGGGGAAACATACATAACAAAGTGGAATGTTTGATAAGATAGAGAAATGTGGCAAAAACAAAACAAATAAAAAATAACCTCCCCCCAAGTGAAAACTCTTCATCTGTTTCTTCAACATATATCCTACCTAGGGGCTGAAATTGACACATTTGCAATGGCAGCAAATTTTTGAATATCAGGCTGATCAATAAAAGTTGAGTTGTTGATATATATTTTACATTTACTCATATATTATGTGTAATCAGGTAAGATTCCTGGCTTATTAAGAGAGAAGAAAAATGCATTGACCAACAGCTGTGTATAGTGGAAGTGTCTGTGCTTTGTTTCCCAGATTCTACGCATCATGGAGTCCATTTGGGAGACTGAATGTCTGGACCTGTGCCTTCTGCCATATGGCTGCATCTCAACTGGTGACAAAATAGGTAGGTAGTTACATCACCAGTGCAATGAGCACACACGCTCAGTGAAAGCTCTCCTTAGCTGGGAAGTTAGAGTTAAATCAAAAGGTGTCCCCAGGCTGCTGAACGCAACTCAGTTCAACAGTGACATGTTGAAGACACGTGGATACCTGACTCAGACCTGTGACCACACATGGGAACGGCCGACCCAAGAACTCGCTCTGTCCTCTAACTCCTCTCCACCTCTCGTGAAAAGGTGCTCATCTCATTGCACATTAAGCTTTTCTCTCGTGGATAACATTTAAAATTAGACAGGAAGAGCTGTCACTTCTTTTTAAATTCCAGAATTCACATTACTGAAGCTATTACATACTCCACTCAGGTACTTTTATAGGCATTGAACATCTTCGTTTCAATCACACTCATTTTTATTCAAGGTTCTGTTATGAGAACCGCATAAAAAACATTTGGCCATGTTACCTTAAAAGGTACCAATCACTAGGAAAAGAAAAAAACAAAAAGCTAAACTTGGCACATAAATGTCTTAATTTGTTACTCCTCAAAAGCAGCCATTTCCTCTCCTTATCCAGGGATATTGAGAAAGTAGCCCATATAACTTCTGTAGCTGTTGTCTGTTATCACCTTTTCTAAAAACACAAACAAACAACAAAATAGATCAGACCTGGAAAACAGACTTTTGCCCAAAAAGAGCATCAAATAAAAGAAAAAGCCTCTTGCACTCAGCCAAGACTCAGCAGAATCAGCCTCCATTGAACACTATGACTCTCCCCGTAGGAATGATCGAGATAGTGAAGGACGCCACAACCATCGCTCAGATTCAGCAAAGCACAGTGGGTAACACAGGGGCATTCAAAGATGAAGTCCTGAACCACTGGCTCAAGGAAAAATGCCCCATTGAAGAAAAGGTGAGTATGCTCTCCCCTCCCCAGCCTGCCCTCTGTCTGACAGTCATGACTTCTGGTCTGGGCAGGCTCTCCCGATGGATGTTTCTGTTTCCTAGCACATTGGTGCAGTCTTTTGCTGCTGAAGAAGTGGTGGTTTCAAGGGTTTTCCCCCCGAGGACACAGCTGATCTGTGAGACAGAGTGCCTGGTTCTAGACCCAGGGAACATTGCTTCAGTTTTGATTACCAGTCAGGCTTTGCATAGAATTTGTTTCTGTGAAATAGTTTGTTAGCACTTTTGTGGCTATTTTTGTGGTTCAACACAAAATATATACATTCTTTCATACCAAACAAAATAATTTGCAGTTTGTGTCTATGGATCCAAACAGTAAATTATGGATGTGAAAAGGGCCCATCTTGCTGAAGTGTATATGCTGTTTCCTTCACAAACCAGTTGAGCTGTCTGGGTGCTGCTTAAAGTTCTACTGCACGAGATTAGCATGGCTAGCAGCCTTTGGTGGAGGGAATATAATTAGTAGCCTTTGTTAATCTGTTACACATGAAGACTTGTGAAACCATCCATCCATTTAAGTGGTCACAAGCAGAGCACAATTGCAAAAATTCCTGTGAGTTCTGTACAGTTGCAGAAAAGGAGAGGCTGGGAACTTTGAATAAATTACTATGGCCTTTTGCTTCTTGGGTCTCCCTCATACCATGGTGTTCAGTTAACTATCTGCTGAAAATACAAGCAGAACAATGTGACTGTTGGCACCTCCTTGACAGAAAACTAATGAGAATGGACTTAACTTGCTATCTGAAGTGGCTCCTGGAATGCTGTCTTTCTGGCGGACATGTGTAGTTGATTCTGGCTGCTATCTGTAGTTGGAAAGCAATTGACATCCATATCATTCTCATCAGTTTCAGGCAGCAGTAGAGAGGTTCGTTTATTCCTGTGCCGGCTACTGTGTGGCGACATTTGTTCTTGGAATAGGTGACAGACACAATGACAACATTATGATTTCAGAGACAGGTGAGTTTGCCCACAGGAAAGTAAAAATTTTATTGTAGTAAAATACATATAAACATAAAACTGTCTGTTTTAAGCATTCCTAAGTGTTCGGTTAAGTAAGGGACATTAAGTATGGTCCTATTATTTTGCAGCCATCACTGCTGTCCATCTGAACCACTTGTCCTCATTAAACATTGCCTCCATGCTACCCCATCCCCCATCACAGAGTAAGAGTCCAAGTGGAGCCCAGGTCTAGAAGCCATTTCGAATAGGGCCACTGGTCACTTTAGACAGAGGATTGATGGGTGAGGGAAGAAGGGACAGGAAGTGAAACTAAAAGAGAGAGGAAGTTCCATTGAGAGGTAGAAACAGAGAGTGGGGAGTGTATCGTAGAACCTGGTAATGGTAGGAGGGATCAACACTGCCAAATGTTGCAAAAAGCAACTAGAACACATAATAAAACACATGAGAGATCCTCCGGTCTAAAACACCCGAGTCCCCAACCCTTAGCTTTACTGGTTCATGGTACTCTGACAGTAGCCAGTAATGGCAACCATACAATAAGATGCTCATATGTGGAAGTTGAACACATTTTTATAGTCTCCCTGGCATGGTGATCAATTCCTGCAAGTCCAACACTCCAGAGACTGAAGGAGAAAGATTAGAAGTTCAAAGTTAGCCTGTGCTATATAGATTCTGTGACAGACATTTTTATTAAGAGTAGAGTATTATAGAGCACTAGATCTTAGAGCTAATTACTTATTCTTTGCAAGAACAGGGTAAACATAAAATAATGGTACATTTGTGGATTATGGAATTGATGAAAGACAAAATAAACACAAACTAATGTGGCCCTACTGTTGATGATAATAGTAGTGGTAGAAAGTGACCCAAAAGGGATCCAAAATGACATTTCTATATCACTACTTAAAAGTAAAAAGCTAACATCCTACTTTCTGTATGAAATACAACATCAGTCTGTCAGTTACGTGAAGAACATGGCATCCCTTAAACATGATCTTCATATATTAGCTAGAGGTTAGTTGATCTGTCCAGAATGCTTTGGAAACACGTATTTTTTTAATGACATTTGGTGTCATCTAAAGAACAAGCCTATTAAAGTATGCTTGTGGCTGCTGCTTCCATACACCGGCTAAGACTGAAAGTACCAAAGGCTAATAAATGTATAAAATGTTTTCACTCAAAATAGTTCATTTCCAGGAAACTGCAAAATTATTTCAAAAAACCAAAATGTTTGTAAGCACTTAGGCCATGTAATGATGTCGGGCATTTCTTCTCTTAAGGAAACCTATTTCACATAGACTTTGGACACATTCTGGGGAATTACAAAAGTTTCCTGGGCATTAATAAAGAGAGAGTGCCATTTGTCCTAACCCCAGACTTCTTGTTTGTGATGGGAACTTCTGGAAAGAAAACAAGCCCTCACTTCCAGAAATTTCAGGTATGTCACCCCTGTCTACCACACCTACTGTCAATATCAACCAAACATACTCACTGTAGAACTCACCTCTTCCTCCCCTCATGATGTGATCACCCTACTTCCTCCTCCTCCTTACCTCCGTTTATTCCCTCGAGTACACACAAAGCTCCCAGGGACCAGCTCATCAAAACCATCAGCAAACCAAACTGTCCCATAAGGTGGTGCTGGTGCTGAGGACAGCTTCAAGAAAGGGCAGTGATGGAGATTGAACCACTCGAGACTGACTAGAAGGCTCAAACTTCAAGTATGTTTCAGGGCTCACCAACAAGTATGAGTTTCACTTGGTTTTTGCTACTGTGTGTGCATTTATCGTATTACCAACAGGGAATTCTTGTTGCACATACCAGTTTTGTTTGCATAAAGGGTAGTCACTTTTTCATTGGCCATCTCATCAGCTGACCACAGGTTCTTAGTGTGAGCTCTGGTTCCACTTACCTGCAAGTAGACCTACAGGAGTGTACTTGAGAATGTTCAGATTCAAACACACAAGGAGAGCATTTTATACATGCAAATATAATAAGTGTAAATGAACACAACTCAGAAAAGTTATAAGTACACCTACTTTATAACAATACAAACACAAAACAGAAACCAAGAGTGATTACTTAAGAAGTCCCTTTGCCTTGGGTAGTCTGCACATAGCCACTTTCCTTAATGTGCCTTCAATGTGGTTTGATTTCCACTCCACATCTCAAGGGCAAAACTTTCTATGAGGCTTCCTTAGAGTCCAGTATGACTCGTGGAAGATGCCATGAGCCTTGAACTTCAGGGGAATAGCTACTCATGTGCTGATCTGTAACTAGTGTTTGTGATCCACTGCCTGGTTGTCTGATTGGTAATGATGAGATGCACCCCTTCTGGTCAGACGGCTTTAGGAATGTGGGTATGTTCTTTTCTGTATACAGTTGGGCTTCAGACAGTTTTCAGGAACTGGACACATTTTGGAGGAGAATGGTAGAAGAATTTCACTATTTAAAGAAGGGAAAACACTGTTTTGCTGTCTTGAGAATAGAATTGATCTGACTATCTTTGGGCAGGACATGACAACAGCAAATAGTAGCTCAGAGCATCAAACAAATGCATGGAATTTTGCCTTCATGGTGGGTCTCTTCTTTCCTATAAATATACAGCCTGTGTATTTGCCTGTGAGTGATGTTCCCTAGGAGACTGACCCTTGGTCCAGTTGATGATATCTTTATGAACCCACACAGAGTTCCACTCCACCAAATCCCAGCAGCACTTCCCTTTAGCTTTCTTTGTTGCTTCTGCCATGGATTTTCAGTTTAAAAAACATTTGTGATGAAAAGATTTTTATAATGAGGAAGCCAAGGAGAGGCTCCCTGCCCCTCCAAGCAATTTACTCAATGCAGCACCTGTGCAGGAAGTTTCCTCAAGTTTGTGCTCTTTGGTCTAAGAACATTTCTTCATCTCTTGTGGCCAACGCATGTTTCTTAACCATTAACCTCTACCCTCTAAGTCACATGATATTGATATAGTGTGTATCACCTAAAGCATTCCTCTGCGAATTGTGCTGTACTTTACACCTCTGTGTTTAGAAGACTGGCCAGCATTTTACACACTTGTGAGTATTACCTGCACAATGTCCATAACACAGGGATCACAGGTAGCCTTTGCATCAGGCAGACTTGAGTATGCTTCCCAGCTGTGTCCAGGATGACAGTTACTCTCCTTTCAGAGCCTTGCTTTCTCATCTGTAAAGAAGGAGCATGGCCTACTTATGGCTTTTCTAGGTATTATGTATTTAGTTAACTTTATAAAGAGAAAGCTATTATTTAGTTCACAGTTCTGAAGGTCCCAGACCAAGACCATCAGCCCTAGAGCACTGTGGATGCAGCAATGATGGGAGCATGTGTCAGAGCCAGCTGTTCAGCATTATTTCAGGGAAAGCTGCAGAATGGCTAGATCGACAACAGCACAAACTCTATTGACAAATGATCACACTTTGGAAATGTTGAAACGTTTTTGAAATGAAGTCACAGACAATATATAAAACATGACAAAGTAGCCTGTTATGGTTAAAGATGGTTCTTCACCCACCTCTGCCTGTTCTCACCCCACCCCCCATTCACCCTCTTCCTCCACCTCTACCTGTTCTCACCCCACCCCCATTCACCCTCTTCACTCACATCAAGAGAACGCTGTCCATTGAAGCAGGAAATTACCCACATGAAGAATTTCCAATGCTTGATACAGACCAACAACCGAGCTTCATCCTTAACTCTGGACTTGAGCAAATTTGCTTTTGTTTTACTTTTTTCTTTCTTTCTTTTCTTCTCTTTCTTCCTTTTTTCTCATACTGATAATTCAGGGTTTTGTGTTTCTTTATTTTATACTTGTTACTGAAAAAAAAAAAAAAAAGCTGTTCTATCCCAGGAACTACATCCATAAATTCTGTCAGCAATATCTCAGAGTCTGGTGTAAGAAAGCCATCATGCTTAGGCAAACAAGGAAATGTACACATTTGCATTTTGAGCTAAAAGTCCCTTTGTTAGTTTCAACCGCATGATGAATAATCCATTAGTCAGGGTAGAGAAAAGAGGACCCACTTTTTGTTAAGAGTGAGGTGAGCCTTCCTCATACACAACACAAACATGTGAGCAATGGGAAACCATGGGGGACAGCAGAGCTCCGTCTGCCCCACTCCCTTCTGTCCAAGGCAGAGCCTAACCTGGGCTCGTATCCACCAGTTACCTCAGCGGGGCAGCTGGTGAGAAGGGGGCATTAGGGACAAACTGTGGTTAGGCAGAGACATGAAACTGAGGCTCAGCATTTGAATCCATGAACATCTGCAGCCTCCAGGGCAGCCTCCCACAGGCAGGGGTCAAATGTATTTTAGTGATGACAATGTCCATCTCTTTGGCTGACCAGATAGTTTTTAAAACAAAGCAAACAGCTTTCAGCACATTGGTGACTTGTTTTATACTGGCAGCAATGGCAGGGACAGAAGTACAGTGTCGTGCTAAAGAACGGCTTAAGAAGTTACCTTAGCCCTTAGGTGTTATTTTACTTGTTATTATTGTGTATATATCTGTGCCATGGCATGTGTATGATGTTCAGAGAACAGCTCCTGGGAGCCAGGTCTGTCCTCCCATCTTCATGAGGGTTCTGGAATCAAACTCAGGTTACCAGGCTTGCAGGGCCAGCACCTTCACGCACTTAGCCATCTCTCCCACACTCCTTCCATCTTTCAGGGGCTGCAACTCGGACAAAAGCAGACCTTTGGCTTCAGTGCAGAAATATTCTGAGGACAAGCAACTATGAAGCAGAGTTGAAGTTAATTAAAGATATTTTAATGTAGATTTTTAAGCACGGCCATTAAGAAAAAGAAAGGTGCCGTAATGAATGTAAGACACGTTCCTGAGACACAGGTGTGGGCCTAAGAGCTGGCCTTCATGGTCTTTATAAACATATACACAGCTGCTGCTGAGTTCTGAGGTTGCTAAGGAGCCTCGGGTCACAGGATGGCTCCTGAGTTGTTGATGCAATGGCTAAAAGTCTAGAATATACTGGAAGTCAGGGCCTCTTCACTCTAGACAAAGTCCGCACATAGTCTTGTTTAAGGCTCCCAGAAAATGTTGGTATAGCAATGAGGCTCTAGGAGGGAAAGGCTGACTACTTGCTTTGCTTCTCTGGAGACACAACTGTCCTCGCTAAGCCAGCCACAGACAGGCTGGAGACCTTGCCCTCCCTCAGGCAGTCTTCTGTGTGGTCATCTTACTCCTCTTGAACTTCTTTTCCTTTGCATGGGAGGTCTGATCCCTGATTATGTCTATTACTTGATGACTACACTTCCCTAGCCTGCTGCTTCATCAAACTGTGTTCACCTTGTGTAAGACAGGACATGGACTCAATATGCACTTATTAAATCCCTGCTATGTATGCTTCAGAGCACTGGGCCAGGCCAGTATCATTCTTAAAGGACTAGGAGATCAGTCCAGTTTAATCGCCTTCAAATAGAACTATTCTCCAATTCCTGGTCATTTTAAAGCAGTAACCCTTGCCCAAGACCTAACTCGGCTTCTGCCCAGAAAGTTCTCAGTCATGTCACAGGGGCAGATTCTCTGTGTGTATGAAACACTGTGCTGCATACAGGTGATCCAAAGCAAAGGCACAGCAGCCCAAGAAACAGATTAGCACCACTCCACTCCAGGCCAAGGAATACTTTGTGTGAAGAGAGTGCTGCCAGTGGTTTGCAGAGGGGACAATTAATCCTGCCTGGAAGGTGATAGATAGATAGATAGATAGATAGATAGATAGATAGATAGATAGATAGATATAGATGAAAGATAGATACAGAGATAATTGATAGATGAGATAAATGATAGATAGATAGATAGATAGATAGATAGATAGATAGATAGATGATAGATAGATAGATAGATAGATAGGTAGGTAGGTAGGTAGATAGATAGATAGATATAGATGAAAGATAGATACATAGATAATTGATAGATGAGATAGATAGATAGATAGATAGATGATAAATAGATAGATAGATAGAATAGATGAAAGATAGATAGATACATAGATAATTGATAGATGAGATAGATGATAGATAGATAGATAGATAGATAGATGATAAATAGATAATTGATAGAGATAGATAGATAGATGATAGATAGATAGATAGATGATAGATAGATAGCTATAGATGAAAGATAGATAGATACATAGATAATTGATAGATGAAATAGATAGATATATAGATAGATAGATAGATAGATAGATAGATAGATAGATAGATAGATGATAGATAGATAGATAGATAATTGATAGAGATAGATAGATAGATAGATAGATAGATGGATAGATACATAGATAGATAGATACATAGATAGATAGATACATAGATAGATGATAGATAGGAAGGAAGGAAGGAAGGAAGGAAGGAAGGAAGGAAGGAAGGAGGCTGTTCCTAGAAGGAAGCCCTTGGGCCCTTG